GTATAGTGTAGATTCTAAATTGTTCAAATCATGACCCCCTGGGAAAGGGCGGGGCCACAATGGGGAATCAAAGTTTTATATTAAAATATATAGGAAAAATCTTTGAAAATCTTCTTCTAAAGAACCACTGGGCCAGAAAAGCTGAAACTTATATGGAAGCATCCTGGTATAGTGTAGATTCTAAATTGATCAAATCATGACCCCTGGAAGAAGGGCGGGGCCACAATGGGGAATCAAAGTTTTACATAGAAATATATAGGAAAAATTTTGAAAATCTTCTTCTCCAGAACCACTGGGCCAGAAAAGCTGAAACTTATGTGGAAGCATCCTGGTATAGTGTAGATTCTAAATTGTTAAAATCATGACCCCCTGGGAAAGGGCGGGGCCACAATGGGGAATCAAATTTTTATATAAAAATATATAGGAAAAATCTTTGAAAATCTTCTTCTAAAGAACCACTGGGCCAGAAAAGCTGAAACTTATGTGGAAGCATCCTGGTATAGTGTATATTCTAAATTGTTCAAATCATGACCCCCAGGGGATAGGTGGGGCCACAATGGGGAATCAAAGTTTTACATAGAAATATATAGGAAAAATCTTTGAAATCTTCTTCTCCAGAACCACTTGGCCAGAAAAGCTGAAACTTATATGGAAGCATCCTGGTATAGTGTAGATTCCAAATTATTCAATCATGACCCCCGGGGGAAGGGCGGGGCCACAATGGGGAATCAAAGTTTTATATAGGAAAAATCTGAAAATCTTCTCAAGAACCACTGGGCCAGAAAAGCTGAAACTTATGTGGAAGCATTCTGGGGTAGTGTAAATTCTAAAATGTAGGAAGCATGACCCCCGGGGAAAGGGCTGGGTCATTATAGGGAATCAAAGTTTTACATAGAAATATATAATAAAATCTTTGAAAATCTTCTTCTAAGGGACCACTGGGCCAAAAAAGCTGAAACATATGTGCCAATGGAAGGATCATGGGGTAGTGTAGATTTCAAAATGTCTAAATTATGATCAGTGGGGTAGGGTGGGGATGCATTATGTATAACAAGGGTGAAATCTGGTAAAGAACAGAATGGTCAAAGCTTCTCAGGTGAGCGATGTGGCCCATGGGCCTCTTGTTTCACATGTCCAAGTTTACCGTGTGAAAAACAATGCAAAATAAATTCAATTTATACTGCTTATTTCGTTTTCAGCTTTTGTAGAAGCTCTGAAGTAACATCACAATTTTACATCGTGAAACCTGCTCCAAATTCTACAGTGACTACGCACGAAATTTGAACTAACTCATCTGTCAACGAGCGTTTAGTTCTGTTACCGGCGACGCCATTATAGAAAAAAAATACACCATTTACTTACTTAAGAATGTATTTTGTAAGCACAGGTACAAGCAAGTAAAATACAAAACATATGAAATGCAATAATTAAAGTTCCGCAGTGCTGCACGGGAAGAAAGTTTCTGTAAATCTAATTTAAGAATCGGGAAGTCCCTTAGTAACTCGTACATAAGTTCATTCGTTACTACAGTTCAACTTCTCTCTTCTCTCTGTATTAAAAGTATGCTGAAAACGATGTCCCTCGTTTTTGAATCGTATAGTATCCTCCCGTATGATATTCTCGTGCCCGGTATTCGTGGCGGGATTATCAGGTTCACTGTTAATTTGTTTCACAATAGAACTCACAATGACCTCATTCTGCTGTTGCAAAGCTCTTTTCAATGAACTACAAGAAACATTGGTGCAGGCACCAAATTTATGGGTCGTACTAAAGTTGAAGAATACGATTACTTTTATAAAGTAAATGGTTCTAAAACTATGATTCGACAATATGGAAATGTCAATTTACGCATAAATCTATTAATTTGGAATGAACATTTAATCCTTGGTAGCTGATTCCTGAGAGAAGTCCATGATAATAATGAATAATTTCTGCAGAAATTGAGTGGATTATATGAAGAGCAGTGCAACACCAACTTTAACTTCAGCGACATCATAATGGTCTAAAAAATTATTTGATCTGCTCCTCATGATATAACATATTGTCGTTGGACCCCTGGCATATATTTCCTTAAATACTTTAGGGCTTGTTTTTTTATTGAGAACCACTCATTAAAATAAATCTTTCATGAACTTTTTTTTAAATATTTTAAACAAAAAGGAATCAGCTGACACTTAATGCACATGTTACAAGTTGATAATTAGGAAATGGCTTAATGGGTTTAGTCGAGAGATTTAGAAAACAATCAATAGTTGAAAATTTTCAGAAATATGTCCCTTATATCAGCTCAAGAATATCGAATGAAATATGCCAGTTGTCTAACAGCAAGGTGTTCTTTCCTGTCTGTGACCTTTTACCCCAAAGCAGCAATGGTCATGTAGATATCATAGATATACTTGAGTAATACAACAATCAGTTAAATTTGAATATATGCAAACTTTATTGATACAACCTGTGACAACAGTCTAAGAAATTATACCTGATAGTAATTAACCATTATCAAACAATTGAAGATATATCAAGTGTAATGTAAACTTGAAAATTAAAATGAACAACCAAGTACATGATGATAATACTATTATATGATGATTAGTAAAGATCACAACTGTCTGAGGAAGACTTTTGCTCTACCAATTTGTACTTTAAAAAGTAGCACTTCAGACTTGTACTAAACTATGCAACAACAATAAATAAAATAATCCTATGTTTATTCATTTTTATACCAATTAACTACATTGATTTTTATTTATTTATTTTGCTTTTCAATTTTTGATTTGAACCATAACCATTAAAACAGCTTTCTTTGAATTTAAAACAAAAGGCAGAATTTCATAAAGCGTTGTCTACTAGTCAGTAGTGTGCTATGTTATAATATCAGACCAAATTAGGGGAGGAGCATGGATTTGAGAATTGAGAGACAGACAAACACCTTACCATTGCATGAACTCTCTGACTAGTTTTAAAAAGTTGAGTATTTGCTATGACTAGAATAAACAATATGATTTGAGAGGTATTTTTCTACAAAAATAATACTGCTTGTGAATATTATGTACTGAGCATGAAAGTTACAGTTTGTATAATACTGATAAAGATATTAAATACATCAAAAATAAAACTAACTACTTATGTTACAATGTACCTAAGTATAAAAAAGTAGAACAAAAACTATATGAAGGACAGATGATACAAAAAATGGATGCCTGGATTGGTATATATTTTGTGGCCTAGTTTCATTGAAAATGAAGTAAATAATAAATTTCTAGAATAAAAAGAAATTGTAAACCTTCCACGATGTTCAAAATTTTGCCATCTGTATTATTCTATACAAATATTTTTCACTTCGAATCCCAATTTAGTGACAATTTGAATAAAAAATAAGAACTTAAACCTATTTAATTAAGTCATTAAAACATAACTCCAGTTGTTACTTTCAATTTCTGGGGCAAAAGTTTGTATGATCTGTCCTTAAAAAATACAAACTAAAAAAAACTAACATTAGACCATAACTGCTGACTACAACTGTCAGATGTTAAACAACTCTCAAGACAAACCAAAAAAAAAAACTTACTAACATTAGAAAATAACTGCTGAATACAACTGTCAGATGTTAAACAACTCTCTAGACAAATTTAAAAAAAACTAACATTAGAACATAACTGCTGACTACAACTGTCAGATGTTAAACAACTCTCAAGATGAAGATGATGGAAATATTTCTTAAAATACACCTACACAAGACATTCTGTCAATTTAAAAGTCATTATCCTTTGTAAAGTCTTGTAAATTGTCTGTTTAAATACAGTGCCTTGCACAATTCTCTTGAGAACATAGAGTTCTATACAAATGAAACTTCAAAATCATCTTATCAAAAAAAAAAAATCAGCTATATCAAAAAAATCTAAATGAAAAAAAAAAACAGAAAAAAAATAACATGGCTTCTTACAACTGTGAGATGTTGTAAAATGAATTTCTTGCAATGATGTGACATTAAACTTTTATTGGCAACATTTCAAGAACAGCACACAAGCATGCAGATTTCGATTCAATGTTTAAATTGTCTTTCATGATTTCTCTCAGAGTGTCTTTGAAGACAGTAGACTTCTCGTCTTGCGTGGATTAAGTGAAATACAGGAAGGTTACTCTGATGTTTTTTTCATTCTCTTTCTCCTTTCCACCACAGACAGGAAATTTGTAATTTTTAGGTCACCTGAGTAAACTCAGGTGACCTATTGCTTTCTGTTTTTGTCCGTCGTGCGTTAACATTTAAACATTTTCAGCTTTTTCTCTGAAACCACTGAACCAATTTCAACCAATTTTGGCATATAGCATCTATGGGTGAAGGGGAACAAAAATTGTGAATTTCGTGGTCCCCGTCCCCCTGGGGCCTGAGGGGTGGGGCAAAAACCACTAAAATTAGTGCAATCTTTAAAAATCTTCTTTTTTACTCCCAGACATCAAGCAGTCACACTGTTAGTATGATTGTAATCAGCAATGAGTCCTCTACCAAAATTGTGAAATTCATGGCCCCATGGTCAGATGTTCTGGTGTGAGGGCGGGGCTCTATTGATTATATAGTGAAAATGCATTAATTCTTTGAAAATCTTCTTCTCTGCTCCTGGGTATTAAATAAACTAATTAAGTTCATAGTTATTATGAACAAGAGTGCCTCTACCAAAATTGTGAAATTCATGGCCCCAGGGTCAGGGGTTATGGTGTTAGGGCGGGGCTCTATTGATTATATAGAGAAAATGCATTAAATCTTTGAAAATCTTCTTCTCTGTTCCTGAGTATTTGATAAACTTACTAAGTACATAATTATGATGAGCAAGAGTGCCTCTACCAAAATTGTGAAATTCATGGCCCCAGGGTCAGCGGTTCTGGTGTTAGGGCAGGGCTCAATTGATATAGTGAAAATGCATTAAATCTTTGAAAATCTTCTTCTCTGCTTCTGAGTATTGCATAATCTAATTAAGGACATAGTTATGATAGCAAGAATGCTTCTACCTAAAATTGTATCTCATTCTCATGGTGTTATGAAGGCACACGCAGTCTGAAACTATGACGTGCACAGTTTTGGGCTCCTGATTCATGACTGATAGTAAACATCTGAATCGATTTGCAAGAATACCAAACGCATGTTCAACAACTCTTCTACTTCTAGATAACCGATAGTTGAAAATCCTCTCGTCATAAGAAAGACCTCGTCTAGAGAAAGGTTTCATAAGCCAGGTCCTCATACCAAAAGCATCGTCTGCGATAATATAGTAGCCAATGGGTTTATCATCACCGGGAAAAGGGGTCGCTGTTGGCAGTCCCATTAATCCTCTTTTAATCGCTTGTTTAAGATCACTCTGGTTCCAAATCTGGGCGTCCGAAAATCCACCTTGAGCGCCAATATTAACCCATCGGAACTTGTAATTAGCGTCAACTAGAGCCATCAGTACAATAAAGTGGTAACCTTTATAGTTATAATACAACGATCCTCCATTTTTTTGACACCTAATGGGTACATGTTTTCCGTCGAGAGCACCTAGTGTGTGGGGGAACTGCCACTTAGCCTCAAACTGTTCTGCTATAGCTTTCCACTGTTCAGGTTCCGTGGGTGTCAAGAGAACGTCTTCTGAATAAACAGACACTATGGCCTCGCATACCTCTCTTACTATACCACAGATTGTATTGTGGGCAACTCTGAAACCATAAATCAGTGTGTGGTAGCTGTCCCCCGTAGCTAGGTACCTCAGAGTAATTGCTAGTCTCAAACCAGGGTCAATACATTTCCTGTACCAAGTGTTGCGCTTCCTAATCTTTGGAGTAACCATGTGTAACAGTTCTTGAAACATAAGAATTCTTGAAACATAAGAGGGTCCACTCGTATAAAATTACTTTATGCAGATGGATCTTCTGCATACATCTCGGACATTAAGGCTTCATACTGGCCATGGATAGGTCTTCGGAGAAGCCAATCTCTCGTCCACCATCCCCGCTGCCTTCGATCACGTCTCTGGTCTTGGATGGCCTGAATCATTGCCCTGGCATTTTGTGAAATGTCAATGTCTAGTTCTAGCATTTCCAAAGCAAGCATCAGTTGTTGATTATTCATGTTTGATTAAAATTTTGCTACTGATGGTCAGACACACAGTTTTTATAGGGTTTATAAATGTCAGCTGAATGACTGACATTAAAATGATAAGCATGGCAAGCATTGCAACGCTTCATATCCTAGAATTTTGCCTTGTGCCTTCGTACTCCGTACAGTGTCGCTATAAAACGTATAAAAACGTAATAAATCTTAAGATTCCTTTGTTATTCGTAATAAAACGTAATTGGCCCGTGTCACACCGTAAAAAGATCTTAGCAAACTCTTCTTATCCGTAGTAAATACGTACTAGAACCGTATAATCACGTAGCTCTCCGTATCAAATCGAAACATTCCTTGACAAATTGATACATACGAATTACTACGGATTTATACGGAGTTAAAACGGACTTCTACGTTCTAAAACGATTTAGTAAGTTTTACTAAGGAAGTACTACGGTGGTTTCATCCGTAGTGGAATTTTGAACATGTTCAAAAATTGTCACAGCCATACAAGTATTGCTACGTTTGGATACGATAACAGACGAAAAAGTCACGGGTCAATACATATCGCCACGAATGATGCCGGATCGCTTCCGTAGCTAATCCGGCATTTAATCCGTGAATGTGTGACTGGGGCATAAGTCGTAATAACGACTTTTTATCTCGTTTTTACGACTTTCTTAAGTCGTAATAACGACTTTTTATCTCGTTATAACGACTTTTTATCTTGTAATAACGACTTTCTTAAGTCGTAATAACGACTTTTTTTTCTCGTTATTACGACTTTCTTAAGTCGTAATAACGACTTTTTATTTATTATTTTTTCCATCTGAAACATTTTTTAACTTGATCTTTCTAGGAGATAAACGGATATACGGAAGCGTAAATGGCTCTACACTTGTTGTGTTATAACTCGATATATAATCTTACTTTTTATTGTCTTATTGACATGTAACGTGTTATGACTATTTTACTTTTACCTATATGTTGTGTTATATCTAAATATTTTTACATAATTTAAAGCGTTTATTTCTGTTTGATAGTTTTTATTGCTAAAAGTTAAATCGAGTGAACAAAATATCTATTTGAAAAATATTGACATTGAAATTATATCGATATATGTAATTATACATGAAGCAATAAAAATTATTATATATTAGATATTTTGACATAAATTTGTCGATATGTCCAGGGAGACGTATTGTTATTGAAATAGCTTAGCGGGCGCGGGAATTCCTAAGACCAAAACTTTGTTTTACTGAAGGGATTCGGAGATAGCACATTTGAACGTTCATGGGAGAAAAAGAAATGAAAAAGATCTTGGAAAGTAAGTGTTTTTATTACCATTCAAGGACATGTACAATTTTTATTTATTAAGCCTTATTTACACGGTCTGACTTGTAAGATGTGATTTCACCTCGGACACCAGTGTTTTATTTACATTGTATAATTTGTCAGTAACGTACTACCTTTCCATTTCTTTATGAAAACAACTTATACTGTACCATTTTAACACAAAAAATACTGGTTAGGGCATGGTGCATATTATGCAATAAGTAAAGAGTAATGGAAGAACAACTTTGTTTCAATTTTTTCAGATGAATTTACTTCGTAGTATTATTTGTTAACCAATTCACTTTCATGGCATTATCAATTCAAGTACACGGAATGATATTTATTCCTCCTTGCATGATTTGGCCATGAAATATACATGTACATGTATCACAGAAATCATAAATTATCTGGAGCAAAACAGGGACGTAGCATCCGGGGGGCCAGGCCCCCCCCCCCCACTTTTTTCCCCAACATAACCTTTACTATAGTAAATGTTCATCATGACTTTACTTTAATAATACATGTTGAAATAAAATTTGACAAACACTATATCAAATCAGTATACCATTGCATTATGTTATATGTGTGATCCCCCACTTTCAGAAACGATGCTACGTGCCTGCAAAAGTTCGGGGGAAATATGTTTTAATTGTGCCTAATTCAGATAACCAGGTAACCTTTCTGACCTTGCTGATGATTAGTTGAAACCATCTGACTTCATATCTGGCTTAAGATTTTTCAGTTTATACGTTATGATATGTAAGAGGTGGCAAGTCACATAATTATGACAAATAGTAGTTCTGTTTCATTTTATCCTTGGGGGGGGAGTTAATAAGTAGTACAAAGAAGTAAATAAGTACAGTGGATGAAATTTAAAACACTGCAACTTTATGCCTAAAAAATGAATGCGACATTGCTTCCAAAGAAAAAATTCTCTGTTGACACTCTTATTCATTGCATTAATATTACATATTACAGATGACCAGCTTACTGACAGGAGTCTGTTTATTCCATTTTATTCTAAGCGTATGCTGCATGGAACAAACAGAGATCAATCAACTGATACAACATTATTTTCGTTTGGGATACAAGTATAATGAGATCATTGGATTTATGTTTTGTGTCCATGGTATAACATTGAGTTTAGGACATTTAAAAAGAGTTCTGCGTCGGTTGGGTCTACGAAGGAAAAATATGGAAAGTCCTTTGATTGTAATCATGGAGACTATTATTTTTCTCCATCAAGAAGGGTATGGTAACTTGGGATACAGAGCAATGTGGAAATTGGTGAATGTTGTGTGCAAAGTCAGAACAACGCATGAAACAGTTCGTCAAGTTTTAAAAGCAATCAGTCCAAATGCTGTGGCTCAGAGGTCTCGTCATCGTCTTCAACGAAGGTTATATTACAATAAGGGACCTAATTTTTTAAATCATATTGACGGATATGATAAACTGAAACCTTTTGGAATTAGTATTCATGGGGCAATTGATGGATATTCGAGGAAAATCCTTTGGCTTGAAGCATCAAATACAAATAACAACCCGAGAATTGTTGCTAGATACTACATGAACTACATACGAAAACTAAAAAGAGTCCCTCGAGTTGTTCGTTCAGATCGTGGAACTGAGAACGGTATTATAAAGGACTTTCAAACATTCTTTAGGAGAGACCACACAGATGCAATGCATGGTGAAAAAAGCTTCCAGTACGGATCTTCCACCTCTAATCAAAGGATAGAGATGCTCTGGAGTTTTTTAATGAAAAACTTTACACATTTCTGGAGAAATTTTTTCAAAGATTTGAGAGACGGGGGACATTTTAACGATGCCAACCCTGAACAGTGTAACTGTCTGCGGTTTTCTTTTCTCCCCTTAATACAATTGAGGCTTGATTTATTCAAACATCTATGGAATACACATAGGATAAGATCGCAGAGAAATTCTGAAGTTCCCTGTGGTATACCAGATGTGCTATACAACCAGCCTATTATGTATGGAGATTTAGAATGTTCCTTTAGATTACCATATGGCAGCGAAAATCTTGACATTTTAAGTGAACTCTGCACTGAAGCACCTTATGAAAGGGGATGTCCGAATAGTTTTTAATGCGAACTGGAACGTCGCTGCAATCTAAACCGAGACGAATTTAGAAGAATTATTCCTGAAAATGCAGACCTGCCTACCCGTTTCGTTTCAAGGGTGTAATTTCAGAAAATTTTTGGTGGAATTTCAGAGGTAAAAGCGTAATCAATCATGTTTTCCTACTTTGTTGTTTTACAATAATACTTTCTTTCTTTCAAACCCACCGAAATTGTACATTACTAAACAAACCTGGCATAAACTTTTCTTTTTCGAATCATCTATTGGCAAGAAAGTGTTGTAAAATTTTAGTATCTTATATTAAACTCAAATCAACCGCAAACCCTTAATGAAACATTTGGTCATTTTGTATCAAATCACTTAACTGAAGGCTTGCGTTTGCATTTTTATACAAATTGTACATAACACTTATTTTTCTTTTCAACCTCACATTTCTCTATCAGGTTCAAAGCAATGTTAAAGCAATCTTAAAATTGAGCATTGAAATGGATGTTCTTATTGCAATGTCATTTAATAGTAAACGTAAGTACTACCTTCTCGTGTTCTTCGTCGCCCGCGTGGCGCAGTGGTAAGAGCGTCTGCTCTAGAGTCGCGAAGTAAGGAGTCATCCCGAATCTTTGCTATACCGGTTTACATGTAAGTATTAGATACATAACGTTAGTTATCAAACTGGTCCTCCATTAATTACTTTAAGAAGGATATGGAGATAACGAACATTATTAAATCTCACAGTCTATTAAACAATATATAAAATCAGAGCAGAGCAAAAACGGACCTCCAAAACATCAGAGGTGGGATCAGGTGCCATGGAGGAGTGAGAATCCCCTGCCGACCGGTCACACCCGCCGTGTGCTCGTTGTCATGATCAGGAAATAACGGAAAAAATCCGTCGTCAATTCAGTGTATAAATAATGGACTAACAATTGGTATGAAAAACTTCAGTCAGCGTTTGACTCAATGAAAAATTGTATTTGCTGACAAGGTCCTTGTATCGACCATAGAACTTACGAAATGATGACTTTAAACTTATAACTAGAACTTCTCGTATCATTTCAGCAGGTCGTACTTTGACTCTTATATTTAGACGTTTATAATGGATTTAAACTAAAATATCAAAAGCGTAATATTAATTTCAGTGGCGTAATAGCGTAATTTTGTGGTAAAAGGCGGAAGAATTACACCAAAAGCGGAAGGGTAGGCAGGTCTGGAAAATGTTCCTGACGCATTGCCTTTATATCAAACCCTTTTATGCATTGTTTAAAAACAAAAATCAAAACCTAATTTTCATCACTTGATTGGAAGTTCAGTTTTATTCATGACTTCATAAACTTTTTCTATGTTAACTTATTTATCTTTGATATTGTGGAAATAAAAATATTTCTGTCCCTCTAAGAAAATTATATGGACCAGGTTTATATCATACTGAAACACAGACACCTTTATGTCATGCAATACACAGTGGAAAAGTTGTATCTTAACCCCCCCCCCCCCCCTTTACTTGGGCCCTTCTGCACAATGATGTAAGACAACGCACTATAAAATAATTTAAAAAAACATGTATTGACAATAGAATAAAATCTAACTTT